TAACTAAACTAAGTGGAGTGTGAGTGTGAGGGCAGCACATAGACATTTACAGATCCACATCCATATTCACATACGCCTTCTTTCGATTTCCTACATTGGAATCTAAATGAGTTCTGGTAATGGAATTCGATCGATCCGAACGATAGGATAAGATGTCCGCCACGCGGTTCCAGGCATCACTCGTACAAGTTTCAATTGGAACTGTTCGATAGATTGTCCCAGAATGTGTCAACAGTTTGTACGACTAACGACGATCTAGCATGACCAAAATTGAAGTTCAGGTTTTTCGAATTCATATATGATTAGCTTGTAAAGCATGTTAAACTGCAGAAGTGTGTGAGACTTATTATTTTTTTATTTTCTATAGTTGATAGAAGAACGAAGCCCAAAACATTAGATATGAATTAATCTCACTATTATGGGTGTGTGTGAGAGTACATCTCTTGTTTCAATTGAACACCTACATCGACACCCATGACCGCTAGTTGTAATCCAAAAGGTAACGAACGAGAGAATATAGAATTCAAAAAGTTATGAAAGATTACATTATCACATTATCTTCTGTATCAGTGACATCACATGAACGTTCATTAAAACCATCATATGATTAAGTATTTATGTGAGATGTAACTATTATTCAAAACTTGTAAGGTATATCTTAATGAGTAAACTCTGAATCGATTTATTTTATCACAGACCGAATCTGAGAAAGACAACTGTGATGGAATGAATCAGCAAGAACAAAATATAGCCCAATCAGAATGAGATTGACGCTGTTGTTTTATTTTCGCACTTGACATAGAGAGGAAGACAGAGAAACGGCTGCTGTACACTTTGGCTGTTAAAAAAATAAAAAGACAGAAGGATGATTTTTTTACAGAAGACATTAACCAAAAATAATTATCATAATGACTCCACAGTGTAATGACTGTCAGAAGAGCAGTTATCCTATTCTGCAACACTGAACATTGCGGAATCAGTTTCATCCATTTTTGAGAACTCGCTCATTATTCAAGATAAGAGGTTTAATCGATATTAATCGAGTTCCATCAATTTTGAAATTTCCGGAAATTGATGGAAATCGATCAATGTCGATTAGGCCTCTTATGTTAAATGACGATCGAGTTGCTAATATTGGGTGGAATTGATTTCGGCTACAGAATTGAATCGGTAATGTCCAATGTCGCGGTATAGAATGCATTCTCTGTCAAAAATAATTTTTAGATAGTTTTCTTAGGAAATACATTCTATTTAAATGAAAGACTATGTCAAGCGTGACTTCTTCTCTAGTTTTATTTCATTTTCTTCTTGCATGTAGAGTGAAATGTTTATTCTGCCTCAATTACTCTTAATTCTCGTGCTCGTCATATGTTTCTTGTCTGCCAGCGATTTTTCGCCTAATGTTAATGATTATAATGCATATGGACTGAAAATAGCTGCTAATAATTTGATACTTGTTGAAGCTCAAAATGATCTTGATTGGTTTAACATTCAATTAGCACCTTACACTGATGATGTTACAAAAAACGATGAGCGTGGTTGTTTTCTTGGATACAATGATTCTTCGTGGTACGTTTATACTATTGCTCTAGGTAAAAATCAATCAACATATAGCTTTTTCTTCGTTGGTGAAATGATTGGTTTGGACGAAGACGAGAAATTACCAAATCGTACATTTGTCGGTTTTATCAATTACAACGGCTCTCTTGATGCGATTGATTGTGATGACTTCATTTTAGCCAAAACATATGTGACCGGAGCCTTCACACATCAAGAACAATTAGTGATGACAACTGATCCTCTTGGTTCGGTTGCCTATGGTTTCTCCGATCTCTTTACATTTTCTTATACAGCATCTACGAATAATCTGACCGTCCAACAGAATAATTCACCATCTCCTTCAACACCATTCCTACCATATGCCGTTGATTACGATGGTAGTCACGGTATTATTGCTGGCTTTCTTAAAAATGATCAAAATTCACGTATGTAGAAGAAATCAATAAAAACATAGAAACATATTGTTCTCTCAACTTCTCTATTCTCTTTTGGTGTTTTAATAGGTATCAAGTATAACACAACTGTTATTCTATTTACTATCGATGCATCGACAGCCGCGGTCACACCGATTACATCATGGAGGTATCCGATGAATGGTACAACATGGCAAGCTGGACAAACAAATGCAGGTGCTGATAAAAATGATCCTAAATTCGACATGTCTGTCAGTATAAATCCAACAGCTACACAAGTTCTCGTCGGGATTCAGTCGATGAATACGGTTTTCCTCTTCAGTTACACAACGACGACATTGACATTGGTTACTTCAATAGACAACGGTCGAGGAATTGGTTTCGGTAAAAGTGTTGCCTGGCTCAATGACACTCTCAACAGTGTTGCCATTCTTGCCAACATCTATTCAACAAGTTATGTTTGGAGTTCTTCGAAAATCTATGTCTACGATAGTCCATTGACGAGTACTTCGAAGCCAATCTCAATCTTTCCCAATAGTGAACAGCCGCTTTACAGTTACATGTCTTCTGTTTTTCTCAGTCTCATTACAACTCCAAGCGACTTAGTTCTCCTTGCTGCCCAAGGCGGTCTCTTCGTCATTCTCTCAGCTTCTAGTGGTAATTATTCGTCAACAATTGGACCAACTGTTGAAGCTGTGCCGGCATTCTCCTCACAACTGCCGTGTATGCCCGGTACATATAAGAATGTAACAGGTATTCGTCGTTGTTTACTTTGCCCAACAGGAACAAAAAACGATGGGATTAACCTTACCATAACAACTTGTGTTAATTGTGCAACGAATACATTCTGTCCGCTTGGTTCTGTAAGTGATTCTATCTCGAATGATCAGCTTAGCAACACCATTCAATCAGTTGCCTATCCAAAATCTCCAGATATCACCGGACTTGATGATATTCTGTTTTTTACACTGTTCTCAATTGGTCCATCTGCACGCTGTGTTGCTCTTTCGCCAATCTTTTGGACTTTGATTGTTGCTGCTATTATAACTCTCATTATAAGTGTAATGCTTATGATTAAATACTGTATTAAAAATCCAAAGGCTGTATATAGTTATAAACTATTTGAAAAAATATTTAAACAAACAGATATCATTCGTGAGGGTGAAATGTGGGTCGGTGGTCTTGCTACGTTTTGTGTTATCGTGCTCTGTGTTTCTTGCTGTGTATTCAGTGCTAAATATTATAAATCTTATCCAATTGAAACAGCTGGACCGTCAACGTATACATGTGATACAGGTATACGTAATGCACAGTTTTCTTCATCTTTACAGTCTTTAGCGGTACCAGTCGCAGATAATATTCAAGGCATGATAGACTTGTTAAATGACCAAGAAGTCAATCTGAACGTCTCTTTTCTCAATACAGTTTACAATTGTACATCGAATGTAGCTACATTGACCTATCTCTTAGGCACAACGTGGCTGTCAGTGTCGCCGAATCCCTTCTGTAATTCATCCAACTACATAGTTTCCTATAATGCTCGCTTGCCGTTTAGATTAATTACTGTACAATTTACTTTACCAAACTCCTATACAATTGGTGGAGTTCGTATAGGTCTGAGCGCTCCCGGTAAAAATAAATCTTCTACAGCAATCCTTCAAGATTTAGGTTTTTCACAAACATTCAATCAAAGTGGAGGTATACTTGGACAAGACGTCCGTATCACTCTTCAACTGACAAAAGTAATCAATAATACAAATCCACTTATAACCGGTGATGATGAGGCACTGAGTGGTATTTGGATTGGCTCATTTTTGGTGAACTACGACGAATCATTCATGACAAATACTAGTTATTTGAATGCACCACCTAAGACGTCAACAAATTTGACACTGACCATCAGTGAAACACCCTATTATATACTAAATGAACAATCACCAATTGCTAGATTACCAGAAATAATTTATCATGATTTTCTTTATATAACAATGATTATTGGAATGTTTGTGCTTATATTTGTTATAGCTGAGGTAATGATTTTACCATGTGTAAGCTGGTTAATTCGTAAGTGTAGACGAAATGCTGATGATAAATATCGAACAGATAGTAGCCATCAATCTGTCGCTGATCCCGATGATGCATATAGTTCAATTTATGATTCAAATAGACAGCAATCTAGTAAACACAAACACAATTCTGCTGTGGTTAATAATGTTACTTCTCTTCAAAGACAGCAGTACACTTTAAATCAATATGCTAATCGTATTGAAGATGACAGTCAGCAGTTACCGACGATGTGGAATCGTCAAGCGTACCTTTGACAGTTTTCGAGTTAGGACTGATGGTAATAAGAATAATCAAAGAACTTATCACAGAAAAATAAGACAGTAGTATGTTGTGGATAGAGGTGCTACATTATCATTGCTCTTTATTATTGTTGCTCGATAACTCATAAAAAATTATTACTACTTTTATCACTTAATTTTTCTTTAATCATCATTACTTTCTGTTTATTATTTTATTGTTTTTAGTTAGCGAAATATGAAGTAGTTTTCTATTTATTAGTACATACTTTTGTTATTTTGAAATTTTTATCACATAATATGTTATAATAAAAAGTAATCAAGAGTTTGTAAAGTAACGAGTAATAAATTATTACTGTGGGCGTGAAGGTGGGTGTGGGTGTGAGCGTGGTTAAAGAGATTCGTACACCCACACTCTTTTCTAAATCATCATATTCTTTTTTACGTTCTTAGGACTAATAAAAAACTTTAAAATTTTACTATTATAAGATTTTTATTTACGATGTTAATGATGATATCATCTGATTGATTCTTGATGCTCAATATTTATTCCGCTTCTTCAGAAATTCCTGTATTCATCTAGATTTTTTTACATAATTTAAAACAAAAATAAAAAAATCAACAACTGTAATCTAAGTGCGTTAAAGGAAAATTACTGAGAGAATCCCAGGCAGACAATAAACGGCCAGAAAGGCGTTTAAACACGTTAAAAAAGTGTTTACACCGTTTTAACTCGTTTAAACGCGTTTACTACTGAATTTTTCACTTTTAAATCGTTTTCTCAGTTTATTTTCAACTAAATTTGACAAAATCGTTAAAAACGTCCCAGTTTCGCGTTTTCTTCGAAAAAAAAACCGTTTTAACAGTATTTTTCCGTTTTGCTTCGATTAACAAAAAAAATCAAAACTACAAAAATTTTATTATTATGCTGTTAGTAAATAATGTGCATCGCCACTAACCAGTGGTTAGTAGGTGATAGTCTGCGCTACTAATCTGTTACTAATGAGCAGTAAACTTTTAATTTAACTATTCTGTGACAGTTATACCTGGTTAAATGTGTCTAAATCACGTAACACAACATAATCAGTAATCAGTCTGGTTACTTTCTAGTAAGTAGTAAGTTTTACGGCTCGTTATTTATTAGTAACAGGCAACTGATGGTTAGAACATGTATCTTTTACTAATAAACAGCAAAAGATCAGGTCCGATATTTATTATTAGTGAGTAGGAATTTTAAACCAAGAAAATTTTTTTATTGCCATTAAGTCGAAGTCAAAATCGATAGCAGTATAACGATCTTACTGAAAATACTCCGCCTAGTGAGTTTACATATTCTTTATTGATGTATTATCAGTATATCTACGCAGCAATATTTCACTCTTAATTGAAAATCGTTAAGACAAATATTGTTCAGTGTTAATATCTGATGAGAATGTAACAAAGCTTATCTTTGATTTCTAGCAGAGTAACTGCCATAAACTGATTTGCTTAACAGAAATAGGCGTGCAGCACATCTCATACTGAATATCTTTAACAATCAGCGTGTAGACAATTAACGTTATATTGATTTGTTCAATGAATATTATAACATCAACTTAACCAATATTGGTTTATTTTACTGCACATTTAAGAAGATTAATTCTAGCTCAATTGTATTTTGTGAATTATAATAAGTACAGACAAATATTGTTAACGTTCAAAAACTAAATGGAAGGGGGAAATCATCATTAATGTTACTACATATTAATATATCATACCAACAACATAAACGATTCCTTCCTTTTTACATTATATGATAATCATAATCTTCTCTATTTCTCTTTTAAAAGTGCAAGTACGTATGAGCAACAATCATGTTCAACCAAGATAAACAAGTTATCCTGTTCTCACATAGGTTTTAATTAAAAAATGACATAGAGTTTAGCTGTTTCAGTAAAAGTTTCAAAACTTGATTATTTTATATTTCATCTAGTTATCATCGTCACATAGAAACAGAGTTATCATCAATCCACATTTTCAAGAAATTTTTTCCATTCTGTCTTTTCTTTCCGTCCAGTTCACAGAGAAAGAAAAAAAGAGGTCATTCTTTTGTCACTCTCTCGTCCGATTATTCGCCTGTTCTTTTCATTTGGAATTCATTTGTGTTCTGTTTCGTTCACAGAGTACTTGCCTAACTGAGTAGGCCATTTTATTTCTAACGTATACTTAAAATTAATGTTAAATTCACTATGTGTAATGGCACATGCTTCTTTTGTGTAAGACTGAATATGTTCGAATTAGATAAGTTCTTTTCTGCGGAAATCACTCAGAATGAGAGAAAGAATAGGGCACTTACTACATTGCTATTAATAGTGAGCTTCTGTGGAAAATACTTCAATATTCACTAGGTTAGTGTTGACTTAGACATAATATGTACGATACCAATGATAATACAATTAGAAGAGTCACTCGCAGACGATAAACATAGCAAAGTCCATTAAATATTCCTCACTTGAAATGTTTTATATAGAATGTTCATCACGAGTACGTGTAACATATGAGACGTTTGAAACAGTTGAGTTTTCTACTCGATGAAAAGAGAATCTTAAGTCATCGAAATATGAGTGAGCTTTAAAAGAAATATCGTCACTACAGGAAAAAACAGATAACATTCTGATGCATAGGTGTGGCTTAATCAATTTCGTGACAGACTTAATACACACTATAATTATGAGATTTCGTAGTGCATTGATGACATTTCTAGTTATATCATATCTCCAAACTTTGATACTTTAGAATTTGATCGAAATGAAGTTAAATTTATTAATGATACTTTAAAAGAACATCTGTCTACCATAGTAGTTCCGATTGTAGTTTTCCTTATATTAGAAGCTGGTTAGATAGTCCGTGCTTTGCCTTTTCATCAATTCCTGTGTTAGTCGTAGTATTTTAAGTCTATTCGTCAGTCTCTCTTATCCGCCACTTAAAACATGAATGGAAATAATTCAGTTTTCTTCTCGTTGATAAACTGACCGATTATATTCAAATTATCATTAGATTAATGTTAAATTGACATATGTTTATAGTTTATACTTTGAAAACAGTGCAGAGAATTTTTCTCTCATCAGTTCGTTTCTTTTTATGTTAAGAGTAAGTTTACATTTTACTATTTACTTGTTGGTATTTTTTCTTTTTGTTTTTTCTAATAGTGGAATGGAATGACAAGACGTTAATGCTGTTCGATTAAACCTACGTATTTTATCTTTCTTTCCACTATTGAAAAAAACAAAAAGAAAAAAATACCAACAAGTAAATAGTAAAATGTAAACTTACTCTTAACATAAAAAGAAACGCACTGATGAGAGAGAAATTCTCTGTACTGTTTTCAAAGTATAAACGATAAACATATGTCAATTCAACATTAATCTAATGATAATTTGAATATAATCGATCAGTTTATCAATGAGAAGAGACTTTAATTATAAATTGTTGATGTTTCATTGTTTAGATGAAACATTTGTTGATCATTAAGAGGCGTGACAACGGAAATTATTTCAACTGTTTAAACAATGTCATTAGTCGCCAAAAACGCGTTAAAACAGTTACAATTTCAATGACTCCAAGCGTTTAAACATGTAAAACGTGTTAAAAGATAATTTTTCATAAACCGTTTTAACGCGTTTTTGGCGACTAATGACACTGTTTAAACAGTTGAGATGTTGAGACGTTTAAACGCCGTTTTGTTGTCTGCCTGGGAACAGAGATCAAGAAAATGTATCATTAAACAAAAATGGATAATAATTTGATGTAAATAAAAGAGAAAAATGAAACATGTAAGAGAACACGGAAAACTAACCGAAAAAAATGATTGCCCAACCAGACAATAAAAAGCATACGATAGATGCGACGAGCACTCGAAAATTGTCCTATCGGAGACTCATGTTCGACTCCTCGAGAAGTTTTGGATCCATCGATACTTATCGAAGTTTCGAGTACTCGAACAAAACAAAGATATCGGAAGAACCGTATTGAACGCTCCAGTAGAAGCAAGCCGACCATAAAAGCAGTTTCAAGTAGTTAAATTAATTTTAAGTTTGTGAAGTTTCTTTAAAAAGAGATTTGCAAATGCCTCCTTCAATAGGCTATCTTAGAAGAGTGATCTACAGGTTGGGTCAAAAGCAACCGAACATGTACATCTTTTCAATTTTGTTTTCTTTATAGATCCATAGCTTGATTTCGTCTTTGAATCACATATACTCGATGACAATGCTCAATGAAAGAACCTATTATCAGTCTTTGGTTGTAGAGGAAAACATACGAATATCTTGCGTAGTCTCTTATATGTCTGTCGCATAAGTTCGCTGTTGTCTAATCGACGTCAACGTCTTTTTCCATTATATTTCATTTTTGAGTAGTTTGCTACGCAACAAGTCTAAAACAACATAAACATCAATAAAATTCAAATCATTCTGTACATTTCATTTGGAGAAAAACAAACCGAAAGATAGAAACATAACCCAACAAGAAAGCTACAAACTTATATGATAGTAAAACAAGAGTGCCCACCAGACATTCCTACGTTTTCGGAAAACTTACAATCAAAGACTGATAATAGGTCCTTTCACTGAGTATTGTCATCTAGTATATATGACTCAAAGATGAAGTGAAACTATGCATCTATGAGAATAACAAAGTTGAAAAGATGTCCGTGTTCGATTACTTTTGACTTACCCTGTATATTATACGAATTTTGTTCTTAATTTCATAACTTTCTAGAAAGTAATTGGAACAAAATCTAAAGTGATGTTTAAGAAAACAAACTCTTAGCGAACATTGTTATGAGTCCTTGAACAAAAATTTTAAACTTTGATTTTATACCTTATCCCACAACTTAATTATTTATCAATCAAGTTCCTTATTTGGCATCTGAAACTCGCGAAAAAATCAATTCGATAGTTGGGTAGATGAAAAATATGTTTTTTTTTCGATTAAATTTTTTTAAACAATTTTTAAAAACTGTTAGCAAATGTTAAAATGCA